AAACACAAGATTTGATCAAAAATTTTCAAAATTTCGAAATAAAAAAATGTTTTGATTTAATTATGTTGTTTTGAAAGCTACATATTGATTTTCAAACATAGGTTTCAAAATTGCCCATTAGGATTTATTTTAGAGAACCTTGAAATATTGAGGACTCATTTGAGTTTTGGGATTGATTATATTTGCATACATATGTTTTCAAAATTGCAAGTATCTATCCTATTTCGATTTCTTTAACCATGTCTAAACGCCCTAGGACATCATCTAGTCGTTCAAACCAACCACCAAACTATTTGAAACTCATGCTTTAACGAACCTGGCCGTAGGGATAATCTTTACCATAGGTTTGTCTATCTCTTCGAGTCGTATAAAATTTGGGAAGAACGTATTCCTTCTCTTCGAGCTATGGTAGAAATGAACTTTAGATATCTTCCTACCTTACAAGCATAGAAATTTGATAAACTTTTTCAACTCGAACCGGTAGTTTATCAATAACTTGTTCGAATTTTCTATTCAAATGTTGTTTGTATCCAAAACCAAGCTAGAACCGAAACAATAGGATTTCGATCCTATCTTCTAGGTCTATTTATTTATATTGACTCGGATTACATTGTTAACGCATTTGATTTAGATAATATCAGTCTAGATAATGAAAAAGAAGTAGTAGGTACTCCTTAAAAGGTCAAGTCAAGTGCGAGTGTGTTAGATCACCACGATCGTTTTCTCCATCTTATGATCTCTTAGTGGTTTAGACCATCCAGAGGCAAATACTCCACTTTTAGAGCTTTAGACCTTTGGTGGATACATTGTATCCAGAATAATAAGAAAATAAACCTACCTCAAATTATCTTTTCTGAACTCGTTGAAACCGTAAACATTGTCCCTAATAAGAAAGTTTGTGAAACTCTAGTCTACGGTTGTCTTCTGAGTAACCTGTTTATCAAAGCCCAGCTTAGAGTTCGGCTTGATGTAGCCATCCCTCTCAAAAATGAAATCAATATGAGATCTTTAAATAAATAAGGATGGAAGAAGGAAAATGATCAATGGGCTCGATCCCCTGAGAAAACACATGGAGCTAGGTCTTCACGAGCTCCACCTGTACTGGCAACAGCTGCGGACGATGATCCAGAGCTTCAACAACTTATGCAAGATATTGACGATATCGACGACGAGCCGGCACATCAAGAAAGTAAAATACCTCCATACTTCCAATCGTTTATGGATACATTGGATATGAGGTTTGCATCTTTAGAGTCCCACTTGACTGCCATGGGGACTCAACATTTGGAGAATCAACAAGAGATTTGAGCTACCTGCGAAGCAATGAATAATCGATTCAGTGATGTGGATGATAGACTCGATGCGCTTACAGGAAATGTGGCTAATATATGGGCACATCTATCTCCTCCCGATCCTCCTACGGATGCTTGAACTTCACTTGCTAGTTTTCTTAGGTTGAATCATAATGGATCCTAACATTGTCTTTAAAACATTTTGAATGTTTGGATTTGTTTGAATTTGTGTTTTTGGATTTTGGATGTTTGAATTGTTTGCTTGGATGTTTATTTTAGTTTGAATGATATTTGAATGGTTACTAGTTATTTGAGCTTCATTTTAATTATTTTTATATTTTGCATCATTTAGACACATATGACCAATTACCATTACACATTACTATGAATATTGATTTATGGAACTAATGGCTAACCTTTCTCTTGATTGTGATCTTAGCAGTTTAAAGTTATATCTATAAATATCGATTGGCTAATTTTTCACAAACCTTGTTTAAAATCGTTTTAGCGTCTTTTTGATTTAACAAAAAGGGGGAGAATATAGTAAGGGGGAGTAATTTTTAATTTTCAAAATTGGTTTCAAAAATGATTTTCAAAGAAAACCTTAAAATTACTTAAATGTTTTGTTATATCAAAAAGGGGGAGATTGTTGAAAACATTTTGATGTTTCGATATAACGAATTAAGTGTTATTGAATTTTAAGATTTTATAATAATTTTTAAGTATATTCGATAAAATTATTCGAATATCAAAATATTACTCCAAGATTTTTAAATGTCAATTTCAATCCTTACTTAAGTGTAAAATTGTGTTTTAATCTTAAAATATTTTTGAAACAAATTTTACAAAGTATTGCGAGCCTTAATCGAGCCAAAAATAATTTTTAAATAGAAGCGCTTCGAGAAAAACAAATTGCCCAGAGGGTATCGATACCCCTCATAGGGTACCGATACCCCTATGCAAGTTTTGGCTCCGAGAAAAACATAATGCTCTATGGGCACCGATACCCCCTTATAGGTACCGATACCCCTAATCAATTAACGGTCGAAATATTTGAATTTTACACTGCAGGTATCGATACCCATTGAAGAGGTACCGATACCCCACGCTCCCAGCAGCCTTTTTCAAGAGAGTTTTCACACCACAACGGCTCTAAAATCACCCAATGATTCACAACGGCTACTATCAATCCAAGGTGTATTTAAACAAGTTCTGAAGCCATTGATCAACAAGAATTCATTGAGAAACAAGAGAGAAAGGATTAAACATCAAGTTTGTGCATTTCAAGCTAATTTTCCTTCAATATTCATTTTGCTTTCAAGAACACATATTGTGCTCATTTGTAATCATCTTTGAGTGTTCTTTTCTTATTCTAGAATTGTGCAAACACATTGCCTTGTGAGATTTTTTTGTAAGTTTACAAAATTTGTATTGTTCTCTTTGGGAGAGAGTGTTCTAAAGAATTTGGGGTATAATTCTTGAGGGATTTGTAAGGTTACTCTTTGTCCTCAAAAGAAAGACAAATTAGTGAATTTGTGGGAAATCCTTGGGTGGCGTTTGGTTCGCTGGAATGTTTCTGAGGGAATTGGAATCTGTGAAGGAATTGAAATCTGTAGGAATTTGAATTTGAATCTGAAACTTGTTTGGTTGGCAGGGAATTGAATTGGAATCCAATTCCATAATCTGTTTGGTTCGCAGACATATCAGATGAATTTGATTTCAGTAATGTAAAATGACAGAATTGTCCTTTTTATTTATTTTTTTTTGCTTAATTTTAGTTTGTTTTATAACTTACATGTAGCAATATATTATAAAAATTTAAAAAATATTAAATTTTCATTTTATTGATTGGTTATTCATTTCAATAAATTATAAAAGTCATACTAATAAACATCATAAGTTAAAATCATCCCAATTAGGGATGGCCATAGGTCGGATTTTTGGTCCACCCGACCCGAAATAATAAAAAAATATTTTTATTCAATAAAAACTGTGACTTAATTGAAAAAAATTATATATAGAGGGGTATTATTATAATTATTCTTAAATATATAAGGTAAAATTATATATTTTTTTGGGGTCGGGTCGGGTATTTTTCACCCTAAACCCGAACCCGACCCGAATATCACACTTAAAAAAACCCGACCCGACCCGAACCCGGAATTTAAAAAAAATCCGACCCGATCCCAAAAGTTTTTTAAAAAAATCCGACCCGAATACCAAAAGATTGATGATGGTAGTATGGTCAAATTTCACATTCCCTCCTCCAAAGGATTTTAATTACATCATGTTATGGATAGAATTTACTTTCCCTCCCTTGATGGAATTGGATTCCAATTCCCCCTTTAAAAACTTGAACCAAACATGGGAAAGTGGTGGAATTGGATTCCAATCCCCCCTAATTCCAAGGGATTCCAGTGAACCAAACGTCACCTTAGTGTGGATAGCTAAGGTACTGGACATATACTTATGCATGTATATATAATATATATTATTATATTTATGCATACATTATACGTACATTATATTTATAATTAATCAAATTATAATTATAATTAAATTTATTTTTTAAAAATAAAAATAATAAAAATTATAATTATTAAAAAATAAATTAAAAAATATTATACATAAATTGATGAGGTAGCAAAATAATCAATACTTTCCTCAAAAGTTACACCACATTAATTGTTTGCTTATCCTTATGTAAAAGAAAGTCAAAGATTCTTTTAGAAGATGAGGATATGGAAGGCAAAACAAACAAACAAAAATTGACTTTTCAAATTTCAAAATATAGATTAGACTTATATTTGGGCTTAAGAAATTTATTTGTAATATGTTTATTTTTGTAATATGTATATATATATATATATTGTAATAGACTTAATATAATAAGATTGTGTTTTTATCATAGTTAAGTAAATATCAGATCAGTTCAATAACGAGTCGGATCATTTACTATTTGACTCAATTATAGGTCAAGTAATATCAATTATTTACCAGATTAGGTTTATGTTCATATCAATAGGATGCAAGTCGAGTTTGGATATCATATTATCGATTCGATTCAAGTTCAAGGCATTCTCAGGTCGAGTCAGGTCAAATTCAAATCCACAATTTCTAAGTTCAATTCGAGTTCAAGTCAATACTAGTTCCAACTCGAATCGATTTCAGATCACCATCACCTCAAATCACAAATAATTTTGAATCAAGTCAATTCAATCAATTTTGCAAATCGAATAAACTTTTTACATCCCTAATGATCGATCAATGTATGAGCGACAAGTTAACTATTTGATGACTGCCAATGAGGGAATCTGAAATTAAGAATTTTAAAGGTTTGATTTTTTTTTTTTTAGATTTTAGATAAATTTGGGATTTTTTGAAATAATAATAATAATTTTTAAAAAAATTAAAAAAAATTTAAAAAAAATATATAAATGCAACATGTATCACACTTTGAGTGGTTGATGATTTTTTTAAACAATTATAAAGGACCAAACAATTAAAATGATAACAAATAAAATGTTAGACACCTAACTTGAACCCAAAAAAACTTTAGACACCTAACGTGAATAAGAGGTATAATTTAATCAATACTTTTAATTAAGACAGTAATATAATACAAACATATAAATACGGGAATGTTTCAAAATAATATTTCTTGTATTACAAGATTCAGAATCATTTGCTATGTTCTTTTGGTTTTTCAAGACTGGAACATTACTGACCAAAGAACTATAATTGATGACTTCAGTGGAAATCATGTTGGTATGTCAAAAGAAATAACCATCAAACGTTAAGATTTTACCTTCAAGAGTCATGCATCAGTAACTTTGCTGACAATAGCTAAAGCAAGCTTTGCAATGCTTGATTCCGGCGATTGTCTAAGCTGTCTGATCATCGGGAACAACTCTGATGAACGAAGGAAGTGTCGGCAATTCGGGTATGCACACATCTTTCCCAGTGAAAACAGGGCTATCTTCAATGGCGACTCAATAATTGCATCTTTTTTGCTTGGGTTTAAAGCAACTACTGAACAATCAGCTACTAATTTCAGTAATGCCTGTCAACACGAGACACAAAAGCAAGAAGGAATCACTTTTCGAGTTCTCATAACCACAATGGTAAATTTGAGTTGATCAACACAATATGTGGACATACTTGCATAGCCCCCTTGGAGATGATTTCTTCGCATAGCTTGTTTGAGTTGCGCACAAGATTACTCAGTGCACCTGCAGCATTTGCTTTAGTCTTGTCTTCTTCAGCTGAAACCAGCAACATTGCTAGTTGAGGTATCGATCTCCTCAGTTCTTCGTACAACATATCGTTATGGTAGGCAGCATTTCCGATCTGCAGAAGCAACAGATACTCAGCTTTAAGTTATATGCATACATGCCACAGCCACAAGCATATAACAAGCAGATGCTTGAATTTGATAATAGTTAAGAATATATCGTACTGCAAAACATGCAAATTTCCTTGTCCGCCTGTCTGGATCAGCACAACGATCAATAAGGGGTCCAATGATCTGATGTCTTGCCTACATAAATAAATTGGTCGGTTAAAAATCTGACAACTATAGCCTGCAAATATAACTTTTTTTATAATGCGTGTTTGATGACCAATACTAACGATATAATCACAATATTTATCTCGAATAATTTCCAAAATCCTGTAATGAATTTTAAAATGTTCACACACATTATAGAATAATGGTTCTTATAGTTTCCCATGGCAAAAAAAGAATGCTTTGTCCTGTGGTACGTACCAGTGATTCATAGAAGTATGCACTATGACGACACATGTTGCCTAGAGCATTGCAAGCTTTGGCACGAACATTGGCATCTTCATGAGCAAGAAAGTCCCGTAGAGTATCTAAAATCAAAGCCCCATTGATGAATTCATAGAAACCCTGTAATACCACAATATCCAAAATTCATTAGCCAGAGCACAAGCTTCCATCATGCATTCATGATTCATCACCCTTTAGAGAGAAAATAAAAGCCCCCCAGATTAACTCATTATCTAGCTTTCTAAGGGAACTTCAGAGTATATAACCGGCTCATGGGACACAATCATTTGCATCTCTTATAAGTTCATATGAATCAAACAAAAACAAAAAAGGTACAAAAGCAAAAGTCGTCAATTAAATTATTTCAGGAATGGAATTTGACTCACTAAATGATTGAAAGAATAACAATTCAACCATGGTGACAAATGGCTCAATTTTCGGAGACATGAAAATAGAAAAATCACAATATCACTATGGATGGGCATAGGTCGAATCTAGCCAGATTTTTGGTCACCCGAGTATTATACCCCTTTACTCATCACCGACCCAATTTTTGGAGTAAAAACCCACACTTAACTGACACAAATATAAGTATAAAAAATTCTCATTTTTATTAAGTGATAGGGACCTAATTGAAAAATATATCAAGAGGGGATATCATTACAATTATTATTAAATATATATATAAGGCATAATTATACTATTATATCGGGTCGGGTTTGAAAATTTTTCATTCTAAACTTGAATTCGACCTTACCCTTAAAAAACTCTAACCTAACCCACTCAAATTTTTAAAAAAGAAAGAAAATTCAATAGAGTCAGATGAGAACCCATCGGGTCCGGATCCATGGCAATCCCTAAATATCACCTTCGTAAAACTGCTAAAATGGGAAAAGGTTTTCAGGTTAAATTGCTAAAAGAGCCGGTCATCAAATTTGGAAAACATGTCTCAGCGTTGTGTTTTAGAAAGGTAAATTGAACCGTGGAAAGGACATAAGTTGGTATTTGTATCTAACAATGCAGCAGTAACTAGTTAATGAAAACGTAACCTGACCTTATCCATGCGAGCTAGATCAGAAACAATCATCAAAGTGTCCAATACGGCATCTCTTGGACTTGAAGAATCAAGTAACCTTCTAATTCTATTCGGATCCAATAACCCTTTCCCTACAAGTTGAACTGCAAGTGGTCGATGTGCAATCATTTTGGCAAGAAAGGCAACAGTCCTTCCCATATCCTTTGACTCTAATTGATCCAAACAACGAAGAATGAGGCCAGGCACTCCAACCTGAGAATTTCAGAAGATATTAAATGAGGAAAGTATAAGATCTCAATAACATGAGGTCATAGCATTACTTAAACATCATCCACATCAATCTGAGACTGCAAAGCAGACAATCCCATCAAACATACAATCCCATCAAATGTGTTTTTCCACAACATTTGATTCTGGGCTGAGGGGACAACAAGCAATTAAAGAAAAAAGAAACAATCTCCAGAAAGCAACCGAGTAATATGCTGCAAGCACCAATCATTAAAGGGAAAAAAGAAAATTATATTAATGGCATATTTTCTCATGGTAAGCCCACAAGAAAGCAGACAGTGCAAGTCATCCTACTCCAACCCATGGCCTAGAAAGAAATAAACGAACAGGATCTAACCTCCAGGAGGATTTTAACATATTTCCCCATATCTTCCAATATTGCTTTCACCATATCCTTGTCTTCCTTGCATACTCTCTCGGCAGGTGAACCCATGTTGAGAATGAACCCACTATTTACAGAAGCAGTAGTAGCCGGCAACCCAGGAGCATTTTGTACAGCAACAAAAGGAAATGCTAAGAAATCAATTACTGTATTTATTGTATCTTTGACTCCATCTTTCCCTCCACCGGGCCCAACCCAGGATCTGACAAGCTTGAGATGAGCATCAGATATCAAACTACATATGAGCTTCATGTGTTCACTGCTGAGCAATATTTGCCGAAAAGTTAGTACTCCACCCGAAAGGCAGTAACATATCGATGAAACTGCCCAAACAACCCCTATAGGGGATAAGCCAACTCCATCATTTGGGCTATCAACTCCTTGTCGTGATGCGTTTGAATGGTTTCTGGCCAAAAATTGAATAAGAAGTAACGGGATGCCACTTGCTATTAATTGTTGTACAGCCAACGGTCCTCCCCATTTCAGTTTGGATTCTAACAAGCCTACACATCCATCCCTAAGACCATGCCAGTATGAGAGAACTGCTTTAGCGTTCCTAGGGCCAACTTCATTTTCAGTGTCTGATGAAATTTTAAGGTGATCACAAAGTGTGCTAGTTGGAGGAATCAAGGGCACAGCAATTTCTGATATGGAAGATTCAACAGACATTCCACCTTCAAGTGATAGAATGGAAGCAAGAGCCAGCATAGCCGCTGCAGAATGAGGTTGTAATGAAGTTATAGTTGTATCTTTAGAAGAAACAAGCTGAGCAAGTACTGTAAGTCGAGAGAGCTGCTTCTTCGGGGAAGTTGTAAGCATAAATATCGCAGAATTTCTTCCGGTAGATTTTAAACATTGACCAATTGTAGCAAGGAGAAGACATGTATGCAGAATCAGGGTGGAAGGATTGCTTATTTTACACTTCAAGTTAGCTGTCTCTATTTGTGAATCTTTGTTCAACGATGAACATAAAGATAATATAGAGAATAGCTCTGAAACAATGGTACCATCAGCTCCCCCGCTAACAACAGTAGTAACTGGTAGAGAATTGGGAAGGCCACAAAGAACAGTTGGAATAATTCCATTGTGGAGGCAGCATCTTGACAAAATCTGAAACAATAAATATATAATATATTATGCAACATTGGACAACCAAAACTACTTCAGATATAAAATAAATGTTAGCATTCAGCAGCTCCTAACTACAGAAGAATTTTCAGTTAGAGGAAGACATACATGTATAGCGGCAGATAATGCTGGCTCTACACGATGAAGGCAATTGACTATAGCAAACTGCACGGACTTGGATCTGACAAATGCTCTTGTCACTGCATCAACAACCTTTGCTGATTCTGTCCCGGCCAGCCAACCACGAGCATGATCTCTGATGTCAAGTTGAGCTAAAGAATGACTCCGCAAAGCATCCAAGGGAAACAAACTGGGATTTTCCTTAACGAAAAAAATTTCATGAGCATCCATCAATGACCAGATAGCTTTACATGCTTCACAAGCAGCAAGGAGCATATTTGTGGATCCAGAACTGAGACTTGAGCCTGAAGTTGCTAAACATAAACAAAGATGGTCCACCAAACGGGATGTCACAGCATGGTTCAAAATCTGTTTCAGTGATTCATTCACATTAGGTTCCTGAGTCAAAGAATATGCTCGTAGACCCTGAGATACTCCAACTAACATAGTTGTGATGCATGCACAAGACTCAGAGAAAACTCTCCCAGAGGCATCTTCAGTGTGGCTGACAACCTACATAAATAAAATGAGGGAGATCATAATGGTGTCTGAATTGTTGGCAGAGACCAATATAAACCATAGAGAACTATACCTGTGAGAAAATTTCAACTAAGACAACCCAGTGTTTGAAATAGGAAGTGGCAACATCAATTCCATTATTTTCTGCCAACAGGATTTTAATAACTGAAAAACTCTGCAAGAACAACCAGAAAATTTCAGCCATATATAACAAGTGTATTAGACTTTGTAAACAAAATAGTGATCAATTTTTAGATGTCTCTTTATAACTTTTCATGATAAAGCCATCTGTTTTTTTTTTTTAAAAAAAAAAAGCATAGAGAAGCTCCATACACATGACAGAAAATAAAACAAAAACTATGGCAGCGTTTAGAATGGAAATAAAACAAGGAAACAGCATGCTTATAGTTTACAAAGAAAAAGTACGCTAATTTTCAAAATCAGAGTGAGCAAGAAGATGGTCCATTTTATGCATAAAACCCAATAAGACATCAGCATGGAACATGAAAGGTAGAGGAAATACGGAATAGAAATTTCCAGATGAACTTAGTAATATACCTTTGCCACTAAATCATTAACATCAGATGATTTCAAACCAACTAAAATGGCAGCGAAATTAAGAAGTTCACACATTATTTCATCTAGAATTCCACCAGAATGTAGAGCACCGGCTGCAACTAAATTGGAAAGAATTCTCAAAGACTGACTTGAATAGAGAATTTCTTGACCCCTGTACAAGCACCATAAAAATGAGAACTGACTTGAAGAAATAATATCTGGTATTCAATTCAAGGGAATGAACATTGAGCCACTGTAGCAGCTTCCTACACAATGAAATGAAACTATCAAAATGACCAAATGGCAAAGCAACATTGTGCCCAACATTTCTAAATGATCACATTTGATAAATATTATGATGTTTATCATTCAAGAAACTCTATCTAATCATTCCACAACTTCACCCTGATGATTATAATTTACAATTCCAGCTTCCTAGGGTACTTCTTTGTCTTGTAAATTTTGAGTAGCATTCTTTGTCTTGAAAATTTTGAGTAGCTTACTTTGCAATAACTACATTGTTCCAATTATTGGAGTCTCAGACATGAGATTTTCATTTGTATTTTGCGCCATTTTAATGTCTGAATTTCTCCCTAGGATCAAGTGTTCATCAACCCGATTTAGCAAGAATTACAATAAGCAGTCAGTGACTAGGGAAATTGAGAAATACGTTTTAACTTGATGCTTGGAAATACAAAGTAATCCTATTCCTGAGTAGCATTAGATACACTTTCTTTGTTATGCTGATTGTTAGTGTTCGACTAAGAAAGTGTGACCTCTTTTCCACCCACTTAACTTGTTCAGTTTTTCCGCTTAGCATATAGACATAAGTATAAGATTTAGTATTCAGATCATGGTAGATATCATGATGGAAAGAACCTTTTTACAAAAAGATGCACCCAAAAGGTCTTGAAAACAAATATATAAGCCAAAACATATCTTGCAATGGAAGTTGGTCAAAATCTCACCATGCAACTTAAAAATAAACTGTCAACCAACTTTGAACATGGTTTGCTCCATAAGGGAAACAGAAAATGAGGGGGAGGGGGGAGCTGTGATAACTTAGCTACTAATACAAAAGGGAACCAAGCTAGATTCTCAATGCTCAATGAAGATAATCCATAAACTCAAGGTTATAGGTTACCTGCAAGCATTGTGAGATCCTTCTGACCATTTTTTAATTGGAAGCAAAATAACTGCCAAGGCTTCATTATCCCGACCAATAATTTGTGCACCATTAACAGTGCGGGAGTTATTTTCTAATCTGTCCAATTCCAAGTTACCTGCAGATATATATGTCATAATATGCCAGAACAAGTAGATGTAAAGAGAAAAATCAAGTGCCAAAGAGATAATAAGCTAAAGCATACTATAACTAGAGACAACAAGATTGGCACAGCAGATTAAGATACTATTATTTTCTGAGTGAAATGAAAGCAAATATAGATCATGTCACTTATCATAAAGGGTTTGACCCATACTTGTAAGGTTTGTTCTTTACAGCTACCATTAGAATACATAACCTATTTACCAAAAGGAAGAAGACTACATTTACATGGAAAAAACTGCAATATGCAGAAGAAAGAACAAAAGTCAAATGAAGCACCAGAGAAAAATTATCACTAATTTATTTCTTTCAAATTGTCAAATATCATAAATTAAAGCTAAGATGTACCAGTCTCTAAAAGTAAGTGAAATTTAATATGCCAGAACAATGAGATGTACAGAGCAAAATCGATCGTTAAAGAGATAATAAGCTAAAGAAAACTAGCAGAAGAGACAGTAAGATTGGCTTTAATAAAAGTAGGTTAAAATTCTACTATTTTCTACAGAGCATCAGTTAATTTGTCATAAACACTTCAACCCCATATGGAACAGGTTCCTTATTTATAGCTTCCATGGGACTATATAAACTATTTAGCAAAAAGAGGATTATATTTACATGAAAAAATAACAGCATGCAGAAGAAAACAAACAAAAAAGTAAACGAAGCACTAGAAGAAAAAAAATTAATGCACAAATAGGAACTGAAACATCATAACATTGTCTACCTGTCTGTTTAGCATCCTTGGGATTTGAAAATCCAGGAAACTCCTCATTAAGTACAGAATTTCCCTGGACTTTATTAGGACTATTCTGTTTACCGTTACTCTGAAGGCTTGGAACATTACAAGTCTCTGAAGGTGCAGGCGAATTTTCTTTACCTATGACATAGTAGTTTATGATGGTTAAATATGGTAAAACCAATATATCACAAATAAGCATTAAATGAAGTGATAGTGATAGTATACCATTTGGTGTCTGGATATTGTTTTCCTCACCCCTCAGTACAAAATCAGATTGCCTGGTTGTAGTGGTTGTAGCACACACCTAGAATGTTTCACTAAACTTAGACTTCAATGTGCAATAAGTTCAGAAATGAAAAAACAAACAAGTTCTTCTTATATACAAGATAAAAACACAATTGGCATTGCAAGCAGCATGCACTGTCGCTGTTTTGCAGTAAGGAAAATTTCTAATTGCCTTCTTGTTTAATGGAAGAACTGCAGACATCAGATACGTTACCCTGGCCTCTACTTCATCAAATGTTTCTTTAACAAATGGATGTTCTAGAAGTGCCGGCCATGTCAATCGATTTTGAGGTACCTGTTTCAAATGATATTAGAAACCGAATCAAGATTTCAACTTGAAAGCAGATTATGACATTAATAAACATATAAACTTTTCATTCAGAAAAAAAAATGATAACCTTGTTAAGCAATCCCTTCAAAAAGCTTTTGAAACTTGCACTCATTTCGTCAGGATATTTGACTGGATCCTGAAATATTGCTTGTAAATTATTATTTCCTTGGCAGTTGGCACTCCATATTTTAAAGTTTAGTAAGGCTAAAATCAAGAAGAAATAATTTCAGTAATTGTGTTATGAGAGTATTTTACAAAGAAGATTCCTCCTATTGTGTACCTTAATTATGTGTCGGATGAGTGCATATACGGAATTCGTATAAAAGGGAGGTTGCCCAACGAATAATTCATACCTGTTGATTTATGGTAGGGTTCAATTCAATGTAAACAACAGATAGAGGATATGGTGGCAATCTTATTCAACTAGCAAAAAACCATTTAAAAATTATCACTTTAAAATTAGGAAAAATAAAAAAAATTGAGCATACAATATAACTCCAAGAGACCAAAGGTCAACAGTGTGGTTGTAGGGCTGTTCTCGCACAAGTTCTGGAGCCATGTATAATGGGGTACCTAACAACCATTTGTAAAACAGTACTGAGATAGCATAAATAAAGGGAAATCCAAAGGATACTCTCCAAAGCAGCTGCGTACGTTAAAAAGCCAGGTAGATACTAAATCAGGCAAACCTTTTATGGATTTTAACACAACAGTATTAGTGGACATTGCCCGTGCAAACCCAAAATCACAAAGCTGCAATAAGTGAAAGACTGCATAAGTTACACGCTAAAGATTGAAGAAAAATTAGAATGAATTATATCAACTCCAAACTAAAAAAAATAGAATATTACTACTCTTCAAGGACACGTCGCTAAAATCACAATACAAAACACATGCATATCAACTAAACAACCTTAACAATAGAGCCAGCACCAATGAGAATGTTTTGTGGCTTCATGTCACGATGGATGATCCGGTTGGAATGCAAGTAATGCATCGCTCTCACCTACATAATAACACCCAAAAGATGTGAAATTCTCATGTTATGCAAATCAGTAAGCTTGAAGCCAAATATCAAACAACTCAATTTGATAACATTTGTAAGATGAAATTACCAATTGCTTAGCAATTGCTTGAACTTGTTCCTCGGGAAGGCACTTATCGTCCTCTAGAATCTGAAATAAATCACCCTGCATACCAAGAAATTCTGTAACTTAAATACTTGTCCAAATCAATTATGCACGTCATACATAGAAAGGAGATCATTACTTGCGCAAATTCAGTAACAACACAGAATTCTTGTTGGCTTTCGAATGAATCTATCATTTCAATGATATTTTCATGCTTCAGCTTTCGCAGAATCTGCAACAAGTAAGATGTTCAATCTCAAATTACAAAATAAAAATAAAGAAAAGAAGAAGATCAAACAGCAAAAGCATTTTCAAATCTTACAAGAAAAGGCAATAGATAATACCTCAATTTCCTGTCTTAGATTATGAATATCCTTCTCAGATTTCCCATGCTTCATTATAAACTTCATTGCTACAGTCTGAAATTAAAAAATATGCAACAAAACTAAAAAAAAATTGATTGAAAAAATCAATAAAAAGGAAATAGAAATTTTAAAAATTACCTGGCCGGTGTATTTTCGCCTGCCTTTATATACTTTACCGAAAGAGCCTTCACCTACTAGCTCTATTACATGGTATTCCTCTATTCCCATCCTTTTAATTCCACAAAATTTTACTTAACTGCTTCTTTTCAACCTAAGCAACCAAAAAATAAATAAATAAAGAAGTAATTTGAACTAAAAATCTACTTAGAATTAGAAATTTTTATATTTTCAAGATAAACAGACAGCATAAAACTTAAGCGCACAAAAAGGTTCCAAAATGTAGCACTGTTTGGAAGATGAGAAAGTGAAGAAAATTTCAAAACGGCAAATTTCTTAAGGGTTTTAAGAATTTACATCACTTTTTGTTTTACTGCATTCCATCAGCGATCAAGAGTAGCAACGGGGAGAAATATAAAATTAGTGAAAACATAATAAAGCAAAAATAATGCGGGACAGAGAAATTTACTTGAGTTTGAATCGGAGAAAGTTTGAGAGTTTTTTTTTTTTTTGAGAGAGAGAGAGAGACACCGAGAGTTTTGAAAAATAAAATGTGAGAGAGAGAGAAAAGATTCCCGCTGCTGAGATTTGAAATATATTTTTTTCTTCGAAATTTCAAATATTCAAAAATAAATTATTTGAAATTTCATCCAATTTATTGGAATCCAACCGTTTACTATCACTACTTGTTCGATTTCATTTCCATTAGTCCCCCTTTTATATTATCTTTCAAATGAAAATTTTTCTTGAGTTAGAAATTAGGATAAATTATAAGCTTATTATTTAAATTATCAAATTTTATCCATTTTAATATCTAAATTTTCAATTTTTAAAAAAAAAAAATTTAACGTTTAATTTTTATTTCATTTTAGTATTCAATTGTTGAAAACTTAAAGGATGATTTGACGGGTAATTTTTAAGTATTTTTAATTTTTAAATTATTATTTATGTTATTATTCAATTAAGGGTGAAGTACACAAATAATCCCCTGATTATAGGGTATTGCTTTATTAAGTCCCTCAACTATTAAAAGTTACAAAATGATCTTTCGGCTATAAATGTTGCTTTCTTAAGTCCTTCAACTATTAAAAGTTACAAAATGCTCACTCGATTATTTATTATGTTCCAAATTCGTCATTTTCTGTTAAAAAATTGGCAATTGTCTAATTTGGAAATTAACATGATGATTGGGATATGATAGTTGTTTAAGATTATGAGATTAGATTTTATCATATCACAGACAACATGTTAACATTCAGCTCATACTACTGTCAATTTTTAAACGAAAAATGACTAGTTTGGAACATAATGAATAGTCGGGTGAACATTTTGTAACTTTTAATAGTCGAGGGACTCAATAAAGTAACACTCTATAGTTGGAGGATTGTTTTTTAACTTTTAATAGTCAATGACTTAATAAAGCAATATCATATAGTTTATTGACCATGTAATACCCCAACCAGTGCCCGACCCGGATACGATGTCACATTGACTTTTCAAAACAATGTACTTATACAAAATAGTAGAAAATTTAAACTTATATTAAATAAACTGAATAATTTACAAAAATTCAATACAAAAAGGTTTACAAAATGATCAGAGCATATACAACTTAAACCTTTTATTACATGCCAACATTGCTTAATATAACAAAAAGAACCTACTGTTAAGTTGTTTCTGATCTGATATCTGAAGAAGTTATGTTATCCCAGTTGCCTACTCGAGCCCTTCTGACTTCTTTGATCCTATGTTGAAACACTCACACGCTAAGTCATCAACTTATTGAGGCATTATATGTATAATAATGAGAATGAACATGCAAATTATATACTTTTATCACCATATAAAGATATTCATATTTCCTATCACAAGAACATAAATGATCAGGCATATAACAATAAAATATAACTCATCATGAAATATTAATTCATGTTATATATTTTAATAGCCCATGTACATTACATAGAACTAAATATATGTGAGTGCATTGAGGTTGTGCACAAATGTTGTCACCACAGCTCGTATAAAATGCACCGAAGTGCCACAGAGAATGTCCCGAAGGACCACATAGAATTGTCCCGTATGACCACATATATGTTCCAAAGGACCAAACATATATCCCGAAGGATCACATACAAGTTCCCAAGGATCACATATATATCCCGAAGGACCGCGTAAAACCCTCGACTCTTGGCATGCCAATTATACCCTTAGCTCTCATCTCAAATACTATGGGCTTTACCATGTATTACTTATGCTCTTATATTCATATAATCAAATGGACACATAGATAATGGCTCATAGCATGTATCAAATATGCATGTAATCACATAGATCATGTCATATAACTTATATTTGTTTTCTTATGTTTTATATATATCGTACAACATATATGATCTCATATCAGCACATATAACTTATGCATGTACCCATTTATTCATACTGATCATATCAATCACATGAATATATTTATGCAATCATGAAATCCATATGGGAAATAGACTTATCACAAGTCTTATTTCCGTAAACACTATATATCTCATAGTACGCACTCACCTTGGCCTCACTAGTCAACACCAATCTTTTATCTACCTCTCTTGGTAACTCTTACTTTGTTGACTTATCTGGACTTTGCTTTCGCTCGATATCTACACGAATATAAAATACTCATAAATATCATAATTTGAATCATTACTAACCAATCATCAAAGTTGAATCTTAAAAAGACACTTGATTCTTTATTTCCATTGGACTAGTATCGGTACTCAAGGTACATTACCGATACTTCTCTATAGTGGTATCGATACCTTACTTCGGTACCGACACCTATTCTGGATTCTGGATTCACATTCTAAAAATGGTACTGATACCTTTAAATTGGTATCGGTACCCATGGTACCGATATTACCACTTTAGTATTGATACCTCATGAAGATTTTGTCCTTGTTTGCTCGATGGTATCGATATTGTTCATCCAGTGTCGATACCTATACGAAAATATCACCTCTAATTTCTAAGTAGTATCGGTACTAGATGACCGGTACCGATGAACAATACCGATACTACAAACCCATATTACACATCTGCATCTCGAAAATATACCAATAACTTACTAAGTTCTTTCTTTTACTCTTCTTTTTCACCCAAAACCTCATCTATGCATCCATAACTCATCAACATCATCAATATCTCACCCTAACTTTGGAAACCAAGAATCTTACTGAATTTCCAACATGTTCAAATTTCATTTCTAACATTTTATACTCTTTATTTTAATTGATGACAAGTTAATTCCAACTTCCAAATCCATTTATTTCCTCTTATTCACAATTTCACTTATAAACCTCTTATATTCAATCATCCATAACTTACTATCCTTTGAGTTTTAAACTACTTTAAACCTTCCTTAAGTTTTCCTAACTCGTCAAGAATCAAAATCATATCTAATTTACAAGAATTAACCAACTAAAGGATTCTTACCTTAACTAAGTAGCTCACGAGGAAGAAGAAGAAAGATGAAGAACAAGAGAAGTCTTTGGATATGCTTCCCTTAAAAATCCTTTTCCACGTGTTATAAAAACACCAAAAACAAATTTTTAATTCATTTACCTTGCTAAAAGACCTTTTTACCCTTCCATCTTTCCTTTATTTACTATTTCATCCTACACAATTAATTTTCCAGATAAGTCCCTAAACTTTTCAATTGATCTAATTTGGTTACTAAATCTTAAAATTTTACAAATAGATCACTAACCCGGTGTTTGGGATGTTACAGACCATGTGTATACTTTACCCTTTAATTAATCAACACAATCTTAATAACCTTAAAATCATAACCAAACACCAACAAGGATAATAGAGAAGAGAAAGAAGCTTCCCGGTGTTTCGCATCCGTGATGGCCGATAATAGCTTGAGAATGACGATAGTGGAGAATTAAAGAACAAAAGGAAACAAAAACCAATAAAAACAAAGGAAACCAAAAAACAAAAAAAGGTGAACCTTTAGGTTCCTAACAGTGATAACTCTGGTGGACGGACGATCAATCCGAATAGTGGACCACAAGAGAATGACGAATCGACCAACATAGTTTAGTTTCAGGTCAATCGGACAGTGAACCATGTAGATAGGAGGATGAAGAAATCGAAGATTTCATCGTTAAATTTGATAGATTGAGGCATTTCCCGATGAAATGGAGGTCGAAATCACGTTAGGGGGTCAAAAAGGTACATGTTGAAAAGTTTGGGCTTCATTGGCCGACGAATGCAGCAACGGACGACGAAACTTCTCACCGATTTCTGGATAAGATTAAATAATAATATAAATAATGATTTAAAAATTTAAAAATAAAAAATAATAATTGCCATGTCAACCCGTCCGTTAAAGTTTTAACGACAGGTTACTAAAATGAAACAAAAACTAAACGTTATATATGACTTTGAAAATATAAAAGTTTAAATATTAAAACAGATCAAAATTGATAGTTTAAGTATTAAACGTGTCGTTTACTCTAGAAAATAATATACATGTAGTTTTTTTAATATGGATTCAAAAGTTTTTTTAAAAGTTAAAATTTATAATTTTAAAATTTTGTGAAAGTAAAAATTTATTTATTTATCTCATTCGTATCATAATTTTTTTTCCATTTTTAAAAATAATGTCTAAAAATAAATATTTTATCTATTTAAAATTATTTTTAGTGATAACATTATATATTGATTTTGTGGTATAATTTGTGATTATTTTAATTTAGTCATTTTTATTATTTTAGCTTATTCAAATTTGGTCACTGATTTTTATTTTTATTCGTTTTAGCCACTGTTTGTATTCTATTTATTATTTTCTTATAATTTAGATATGAAATCTTGAATTCATTAATTTTAGTCACTAATTGATTATGATTTGGCTATTATTTTTAGTTTTATTTCATTTTAGTCCCTTTATGCTTGTTATTTTATCTTTATGATTATTTTAATTTGAATGCCTTATTTTAATGACTTCCATTTTGGTCATGAATGATTAAATTTGGTTTATTTACGATTGCAGTGCCTAGTTTATAAAATATTTGCAATGGTTACCCTGATTTCTTGTGAGTTGTATAGTTTAATCCCTAAAGTTAACATTTTTATTATATTGGTCGATAATTTATATTGGTCGATAATTTATATTTGTTAATTACTTGCTAGTTGTAATATTTTCAAATATTATTGAACTCGAGGATTTTATAGAAACGCACCTTAACTAACAAGGAATGTGTTTTTAAGAATTGTTAGAACAAAATAATATATTTTATTTTCAAATGAATTTTTGTTTTAATATATTTAATATATGTATTTTATCTAAAAACTTGGGCAATATTATTTTGTA